TTTTTTTTGCAACCATCGGTCCCCCCCCCTTTTTTTTCCCCCAAACCCCCCCCCCCCCGTGCACACACCCTTGGCAAGAGGCCATCGTGCATGGCTTAAGTTAAATTCTTGTACGATTTAACTTAAATTATTTGGCTGCTTTTCCAAATTCACGAGTCACATCATTACATCATCAAATCATCACATCATCACACCATGACATCATGACATCATCATGTCCTCACACCATCACGTCATTACATCATCACACCATCACGTCATCACATCATCATGTCCTCACACCATCACGTCATCACATCATCACACCATGACATCATGACATCATCATGTCCTCACACCATCACGTCATCACATCATCACACCATCACGTCATCACATCATCATGTCCTCACACCATCACGTCATCACATCATCACACCATCACGTCATCACATCATCATGTCCTCACACCATCACGTCATCACATCATCACACCATAACATCATCATGTCCTCACACCATCACATCATCACATTATCATACCAATCACGTCATCACATCATCACATAGAATGGCTAGGGTTAGCACAGCGAGGATTCCTCACACTATAACTGCTCCATGAGGTTAAGGGCTGTGTAAGTGTAAGCAAACGAGGTAAGTTCTTCAGGTCAATGTTCAAATGTAAGTAACGTTTTTAAAAAGCATGACATTCACATACCATAACCACCCCGCTCCCCCCGAAAAAAAACTCCATACGCCCCCCCCCCCCCCCCCCCCCNACTGATCTAAAACTATACTGATCTAAAACTATACTGATCTAAAACTATACTGATCTAAAACTATACTGATCTAAAACTATACTGATCTAAAACTATACTGATCTAAAACTATACTGATCTAAAACTATACTGATCTAAAACTATACTGATCTAAAACTATACTGATCTAAAACTATACTGATCTAAAACTATACTGATCTAAAACTATACTGATCTAAAACTATACTGATCTAAAACTATACTGATCTAAAACTATACTGATCTAAAACTATACTGATCTAAAACTATACTGATCTAAAACTATACTGATCTAAAACTATACTGATCTAAAACTATACTGATCTAAAACTATACTGATCTAAAACTATACTGATCTAAAACTATACTGATCTAAAACTATACTGATCTAAAACTATACTTATCTAAAACTATACTTATCTAAAACTATACTGATTAAAACTATACTGATTAAAACTATACTCATCTAAACACTATACGGATCTAAAACTATACGAATCTAAAAAATCTAAAACCATACAGACATGGTGATATATCGGACGAAGTAGATGTATATGAGTAAAATGAATAAAAACAAAAAAAAACAACAACAAATAAACAAACCATTAAAACACGTGCGTTAGTTTATGGTATTTATTAACACAATTTTTAGGTTACTGTTTGTCTGAAACCCTCCAAACCTGACAATATAAAGAAACACAAGATGAACTATTTTAGACAGAAGAGTTCCAATGAGGAAATTAAGCGAGTAAAGTGGGAGGCAAGTGAGGGAAGTAAAGTGGGAGGCAAGTGAGGGAAGTAAAGTGGGAGGCAAGTAAGGGAAGTAAAGTGGGAATAGAAATGAGGTCAGGATTTTCACAGCAGAACAAGAAAAATAAAACACAGAGTTAGAACATTGATTTTTTCAAATTCCGAATAGAAATAATAATGTTTGAATCTAGACTCGATCCAGCAATTTCAGACAGTTCATCGCAGCACAAAGGTGTGGACATGTATTATGAGGGAAATTTATCCAACGTAAATTTAGAAGAAAACTTCAAAATGTTTATAACTTCAAGTTATGTCCCACCCCTCCCACTTTTTTCTCCCCTCTCTGCCCTAATCTTCCAATGAGCTACTAGAATTCGGGTGAATATGTTGCCATTGCTACCCTAAGGAGGGCGACTTTAACAGGATGAACTCTACCCGGGGGAAGTAGCTCAAGATAAACTCAACCCAGAAACTAAAAAAAAAAAAAAAAGGATAGATCTAAATAAAGATGAGAAACAAAACTCAAGGAATAAACTTTCGTTTTGGCGAAAAAAACAAGCTTAGGGTCGCGCATGCGCAAACTAATAACAGGAAATGGCCTGGAAGTAGCACGTCTGAATGTAGCTTCTCTTTTGCTGAACTCGCTCGAGGTCCTCCCTGCTGGCTCCGAGGTCCTCAAGGGTTTCGTAGGTCATGTCCATGGCTCTCTTGAGGAGTCGGTCGGCAATCTCCATGTGTGGGGACATTGGCTGCGGACGAAAGAAAACAGCCGTTACAAAACATCGGATTAAGTCCAACATGGTAGTGCTGTGGACTTGGCTTAATACTTTCTTTTGTACTGTCTATCATATGTTAACATGGTTATTGTTACTGTAAATGAAATATGTCTTTCGAAACTGTCTGTGGCACATTTCAATGGCAGATGCCTCTTGTACATTTCTTATTTTATGTCAATTGTTCAT